ATCTTTTTTTCTTTCATGTATTTGAGCTGTGCTGTTTGGTTCATATATTTGAGCTGTGTTGCTTGGTTCACATATTTGAACTGTGTTGTTTGGCACATATATATAGGTAGGACTACTAATGCTTCTTGGCCAACTGACTCTTTTATCATGTCCTTCTCTATCTCTGGTAATATTCTTTGCCTGAAATTTACTTTATTTGGTGTGAATATAGACACTCCTGCTTTGATTATTTAAATAATATATCTTTTCCCATCCTTTTACTTTCAACCTGTCAATATCAATCTATTTGAAACAAGTTTTTACATAGCATGTAGTCAGGTCACATTTTGGATTTACTCTGCCAATCTATCTTAGTTAGTGTATGTTGACCTCTTATATCTAACATAATTGATATTTTAGGCTTACGCCTGCCATTTTGTATTTACTCTTTTTCATTTTTGGTGTTTTTTTGCCCATCTGTGACATACTTGAATTGTTTTGAGTTCCATTTTGACTTAAGAGTGCCTCTCTTATACCTTTTTTTGTGGTTGCTCTGCATTTCATTTTATGTTTACATATTATCAAATTCTACTTTTATCATCATTTTTACCAGTTTCAGTGGAAAAATCTTACTACCCTTTCTGGACCTTTTCCTTCTGCCATTTATACTATAATTGTTGTGAACATGTCCTCTACAAACACTTAGATACACTTTGGCAGGCGTGGAGGAGGGCACTGTTTTTGTTTGTTTTATGTGTGACCTTTGGCTGGAATAGAACAGTTATTTCTGTAAAATTGTTTTGCTACTTTCCCCCTTTCTGGCTCTTTATCTAAAGGAAGTAGGTCGTGTGTGTGTGTGTGTGTGTGTGTGTGTGTGTGTGTGTGTGTGTGTGTGAGAGAGAGAGAGAGAGAGAGAGAGAGAGATGGAGATGTGGCATGGGGCTATGTCTGGTTCCTTACCCTTTCCTCTCTGGTGCTGTTCCCCTGGTCTGCTTCCTGGCTGCCATGAACTAAGCATCTTTCCTCAGCCAGGCCCTTTTGCCACAATGTTCCTGCCTTGAAGCCAGCCATGGATAAAATTCCCACAAACTGTGACCAAAGTTAAATCTTTCCTCCTTTAAGTTGTGGGTGTCAAGTATTTTATCCAGCAATGGGAAAACTGACTAGTTCAGTGTGTGTGTGTGTGTGTGTGTGTGTCTACAGTCCTACTATTTCTGGGGCATTGGCTTCCTCAGATCCAGGTCTGGGATATATAAGGCTAGAAGAAAACCCTAGAAACTTGCAGGTATGGGTTCCTTGTGTCTTCAACTTCCTAGTCATTCTGTCTTCTCTCCACCTTTTAATCTTATGTTTGCTTCATATATAACTTTCAGGGCTTTTAGTGGTACTTTGTGGGAGGAATGGGAGAATGTACATGTATTCTATATTCCTGAAACAGAATTCTTGATGGATTTCTTAGGCTGGGCAGCTGGGGAACTGAGCTCAGAGCTCTGCACAGGCAGAGCAACTGCTCTACAACCCAGTTACATCCCCAAGCCCTCCCACTTTTAAAATCCGGCCTTCGGGTACACTTTTACAAAAGACATTTCTCTGTGAAATAAGATCAGCGTCCTAATGCTTTTCAAAAGCAGCACAAAACAAGTATGAAAAAGTGACAAGACGCTTAACAGGTTTAGACTGTCTCAGCCTCCCTGCCAGACACAGTACAGGGGCAAGAGCTAGTGCAGTGTGCTGGAAAATCAAGAAACAGGAAAATACGAACACTGTTGACTTCACCCACTGCCCATACGGACTTCATAGGCAGGGCAGCTCGGTGACACATGTGAGGATTTCACCTCTGGGGGTGCAGCTGACTCAGTCCACTGTATCCCCCGGCCTGTCTGCACCAACCATTCCCAAAGTTTACAATGCAAGAGAAGGGCCCGGGAAAGCTTATTTAAACACAGACCCTGTCTTTCGATCTGTAGGTCCCAGGTGGGCCCAGAAACTGCTTAGTCTCCTGGTTTTGGGTAAGTTTAGCTGTTACTGGCCAGCATCAGACCTCACTGAGGTTTGTAAAATTATGAATAATGGAGAGTCCACGTGAAGGGAGAAGTTATTAGATTCTCAGTAAGGAGAAAATGTCTTAACAGCAGGCTGGTGCTGGGCATGATGCATATTTGTAATCTCAGCAGTCTAGTCTAAGAGGCTGAGGTGGGAGGATCATAAATTAAACCCCAGCAGGGCAACTTAGTGACTTAGCAAGACTCTAGCGCAAAGAAAAAAAAAAAAAAGTCTGGGATTTAGTTCACTGCAAAGGCCTGGGGTTCAATCCTTAATACATAACAAATGCATAAATGAAAGTCCAGTAGGGTAATTATAATGTCAAAACTGAGAGCCGGGCTTGGGTACCGGGGCTAATGGGCAGTTTTGCCTCACCTCTGGTCACTCACATGATATGGTCTTGACCATTCTCTCCTGACCCCTACTGTAAAGAAGGTTACTTCCTGTTTCCCTGGCTTTCAGTACTTTTAACATTACTGAGAAGTCCTACATGGTTAAAATCTGCTTGTTCTTTGTCTTTGCCCCAGTTCTAACAACCCTGCACAATTTTTCTGCTGCTCCCAAATCCTTAAGACTAATCCTTTTCCTTCAATGATGTCATCTCCGATTCCCAGGTGGAAGACAGCCCACCAGATAGAAAGTATCTCAGCTTCCAGAACTGAACCTCCACAGCCACACTGGCCATTCTATGTAAATCAGAAAGAAGCAGCCTTCCCTTATGGCCCTCTACAATCATCTTCCAGGAGATCGTTGCGGTTGCTATTCAAACTCACTATGTACTGAAGTCAAACTTAGGATGTATTGTCTAGACATAAACGCACAATTTTCCCAACAGCACAGATCTGAAATCTTCCTTTTCCAAGGTACTGCCTGAAGTCAATCCCTCTTCCTGTGCTCTGCATTCATCCACTAATCTTGCTTCTTAAAAGTCATCCCTGTAAACTACTTAGACATAGGTCAGTTTGGCCACGAACTGATCAACAGAAAATCTCCCTGTTTCCTTCCCATCAATATTTAAACAAGCCTATGTCTCTCCACTCTTAAAACATCAGCCCTGCACCATATAACAGTGTTTCTGTCAAAAGCAAGAGATCACATATACGATGGCAACCAGGAACAGCTTCATATTTCATTTACTGCATCCCTTGACGGCGTGATTTCCTCTTGTACTTGATTTAACCTTGTGCTTTGCTCACCATGGCCTCTCAGCGGACAAAACACACACCTAATATTGCCAGTGAGAGGCCATGCCGAGTAAGTGACTTGAAAGAAATTGAGTGCTTAAGAGCTACAAAGTTGGAGAGGCAGTGACGATGATTGCTCACTGGCAGGAATTGCCTCCCACCATAGTATAATCCTGCAAAGGATCGAGAAAGTGACAGAAACTGTTAAAGGATCTACTGAAGACAAGTGGCCTGATAAAAATTCAAGAAGGGTCTCTACCAGGGAGAAACTTTTAATGACCTGGTTTGAAGACCAGACACACAAGCACATCCTGTTCAGCACTACAATGGTCACAGCCCGTTAGAAGACAATTTGCAATGTTGAAAGAGAAAGCTGGACTCAGCTGTGACACTGAATTTACTGCTAGCTCTGCGTGGTTTTAGAATTGTTATTTGTTATCTAATGTCTAAGTGAATGGTGGTGTGCTGCTGATGCTGAAGAATTGGTGGAGACTCTAGATAAGTTAATTGTGGAGGGAAATTACTTGCCAGAACAGATCTTCGGTACCGTCTTGGATTTTGTAAGTACACCCTTGGATGCACGTTTCTCAGTGTGCAGCCTTGTTGGGTAGCAATGTAAGACTGCAATTTAAGAAAACGTTCATATCTTCCTTCTACTGTCACTCTCATCCCTTCACAGACAACTTCTGGGAAGACTGTTATGTGCTCATTCCTGTCCATTTTCTCACAGTCACTCCCTCTTATTCCTCAGGGCACTCCAAGCTGGCCTCCTCCCAGAATTCCAATGAACGTGCTTTAGCTGATGACAATGCCTATTAAATGAGACATTTCTCAGTCTTCATCTCACTAATTTCCAGTAAAACTGATGCAGATGCCCACCCTTTCTTGAAACTCTTTCCTTGCCTTTTGCAACTCCATTTTCTGCTAATGCTGTGAGCTCCTCTTCTTTCTTCCTTTACACCCACCCAGCTGTCAGCCCAGAACCTTGGCAACCATCTCAATTCTGCATATTTCACACACTCAACCCACCACCTCCCAATTCTCTCTCCACCTCTCCTTCCCCTATTCCCCAGCATGGCTGTAGTTCAAGTAGCCAAGCCTCCTGAGAGGCCACGGACCAGCTGGGTTCACATGCTTTGTGCACAGCAGACTCCAGACCTGGTGCCTGGAACTTTCCGCTCACTCTGTGTGGTTAATCCTTCACCATCCACCACTATGAAATTGAAAAGTTGATCCATTTTGTTCACTGGGCACTGCTGCATGGCACAATGAGGCCACAGTGGGTACTCAGTGAATGGCAAGAGGAAAACTAAAGGGAAGGAAAATGCAGGAAGAGATGTGCAGATGAGGAGAGTGTTGGCCCACCTCTTCCCGAAATGGCAGGAACTCAGAGCCTGAGAGGGAAAAAAAAAATCCACACCCGCCACACACAGCAGGGTGGTAATCGCCACCCGAGCCAGACTTCCGTTTCCGGTATGAGTGACGTCACTTCCCCTCCATTTGCTTGGAGTCCCCGTAGGACGCTAAGGACTGTCAAAGATCTTCCACATCCTTCTTTTCTTGCTTAGTCTGTAATATAGCCTGACCAGTGGCCTCAAGGTTCTGTGGCCAGGAACTTGAAGAACTTGGGCGCAGAGGAAGGACTATCCTGTGTGAGGGAATGATTGGAGTGACAGACTGGAGTGACAGACAAAGAGGGATGAAGAGGGCAAGTCCACTAAACTTATAATAAAAATTTATCCTGATTCACGTTGGGCTGATGCTTGTGTCATGGTCATAAAATGTGTGTGTCCCGAGGACCATGGCAACCCAGTTACTGTTTTCTTTCCTTTTTAAAATTTAACCATTGAACTAGCCCCTGCCCACACCTGCCTCTGTTTTCTAGTCAACTTTCTGCTGTGTGTAGCACGGAGAGTCTTTACTGGGTAGCTTTTGTTGATGGCAGGCACAATTCACAATTCTGTCTTCTCACCCTTTTATTGAAATGGCAAAATCCAAGCACAAATACTGTTGTTAAGAGGGCTGAGAAGGCTACAGGAGACCAGAGTCACTGACCTTTATTTTGAAAATCAAGACCTCTTTTAAAGTTCCTGGAAGGAACTTAAGGATGCTGTCGTTCATGTAAATGCTACAGAACTTGAAAGCAATAGAAAATTTTCCATCATCAATAGAAAAGAATGGTTACCAAATGAATAGCTCCTGATTCAAGACCTACGGAGCAAAGCCACAATCTCCTTCACCTTGAAACTGGACTAGGTTGCAAATACTGTATGCCCTTCCTCAATGCAGCCCCCACATGCAGTTTTGCTTAGTTATTATGTATGATTTGTAGACTGATGTTTTCTTTCTTCCTTTTTTGGAAGAGTACAACAGAAGTTTCCTGAAGTTTGTGGAATCTTCTTATTTGGGACGACTTTCACAGCTAGTGTTTTAGTGCCAGGTAGGGTGTGAAAACATTTCCAAAATGCACTATTTACCTACCTACCACACTGCCACTTGACTGCTAAAAGTCAAGAGGAACAGGCTTGACCAGTCAGTGAGTATAATATAGCAAAGAATTTCATTTGATAACAGGAACACCGCTTTTGTGCTTATAAAATGCTTTGAACATTAATCAGTGCTTTTCAGTCATTAGCATATAAATTTTAGTTTTCAGTTGGTTCATAACAAACAGATTAATTACGTACCCTGCTCAAGTCATTTATCTAAATGAAAAATTCTGGTAAATTGTATTTGTGGGGCATTGATCAAAACTAATGGGAAAATGAGATTAAGATAAAAATCATAAGATTAAATTTTTAATTAGTTTGCCACCTTAATAATTGTGTAGTGTGACACAGTGATTGATTGGCCATTATACCTGTCTGGGAAGATGGGGCTCTGCCACCAAACCTCTGAACCTAGCAGTGTTTTACAAAAGACTGAATATTTTATTCAGTTATCCATCTCTTTATCCCTGCTTAACAAGGAACTGAAAAGGAAGGTAAAGTCTGGGATCTCATAGTTTCATAGTCCTTTGTCTAGTGATACAAATAATGTATGAGGTAGGGACTTCAGACAGTTCATTAATAAACAGTTCAAACTTAACCTGTCTAAGCAGAACCATTTACTTCCTGTCCCCAACCTCTTCACAGGGCTGATGTCACCTATTGATACCACCACATATAATACCCCGATGCAAAAATTTAGTTGTGATTCTTTTTCTTCTCATTCCTTACAGTTCAGCCATTAACCAATTCTATTAGCCTTTCTTCCAAAACATGCCTTAAACCCACTCACTCTTCTCATTTCTACCACCCTAACCCAGGCACCATCATCCTTGACCCTGGTTATCTGCCATATTCTCTTAATATAGTATCCCTGCTTCTAAGCTTGAGACCTACTTCCAACATCCCAGCCCATTCACAACGCAGCAGTAGCAGTGAAAATATTTAAAATGTAAGTTAGATTTGATCACTCCGCTATTTAGAACTATTTAGTGTCTTCCCATACTAATTAGCATTCCTACGAGGTCCTACTGATTAGACTTGATCTGGGGCTACTTTTTGCCTCTTCTGTTACTATGACTCATACTGTCTTTCCTCCCTCTGCCAAGGCGACCTTGCCATAGGGTCCTTGTACCACCTATACCTTTGGCCTTTTCCTCAGGTATTTGTAGAGCTGATACTCTCCTGTTCAGGGCTAAACTTAAATCTTACTCCTTAAAATAGGCTCTTCATTGATCAGCCCTATTACTCCCAATCACATTGTCCTGGTTCCCCTTAACCACAGCGCTCATCATTGCACTTTCTTTCTTTGGTTTATTTTATAATTTGTTTTTATTAGTAGATGTTTGGAGTGCATGCAGCTTACAGTCCTCTTGGAGAGTGGGCATATGTACATAAAATAGCTGGTTTATTCTTTTAAAAAATCCTTTTCCCCTTCTCTCCCCACTTCCTCCCACCTCTAAATCCCCTTCTCTATTTTTGTTCTATAGCAATACATGGATATCAATTTATAGCAATACAATTGGTAATAGCTAAATCCTGGAAGCAGCCTGTATATCCAACAACAGACGATTGGTTAAAGTCTATACTGAATGGAATACTAGTTGGCTATAAAGAAGGACCAGTTTGAGATATTTGTAGGAAAATGGATGTACTTGGAAAATATAATGTTGAGTGAAATAAATCAGACACACAAACCTAAATACTGTATAGTATCTCTCATGTGAGTAAAGCAAAGTACAAGCAAAAAGCACAATAAGGAATGTATGGAAGAGACAAGGGGACTGATCTCTTACCAACGGGAGGGGGTCCAAGAGTAAATGGGTGAGAAGAGAGAGTGAGGGGGAGAGGCAGTAGGTAGAATAAAGATAAGCTACGTGTAGGAACCTAATAGCTGCAATGAATGTAAACATTTTGTGTCATAAACATGAGATAAGATCAATATTATCGTTATTACATTTTCTTATGTCTTTCTTCCTTGGTTTATGGACCGCCTCCTCCCCTGTCCCTAACGTATAAGCTCCATGGAACAAAAGCTCTTGTCTATCTTGTGTGCTACCACTTTAGGAGGGCACCGCAGAGTCCGGTGCATGCATGAATGAATGCACGAACACATCAGTGCATGCAGTCTACTGGCCCCAGCGAGGTCACCATCTCATCTCAGATACTCAGAAACAAAACAGGGAAGGTCAAGGGAGCAAATGCTACCTACAGGAGACTCAAGCACATGATGTGGACAAGGACACAGTGGGGAGAGGTAAGGAAACATTTGGGATGGGAGGGCAGGCGGACAGTGTAGGAAAATAGGGACAATATGGAACAAATCTGAGATGACCCACAGATTTAATTTGCACAGGCAAGCACTTATTCTCTCCCCCACCCCAGGATACAGAATGGTGTCTCAGTATTGGCCATGAACCTGGTGGGCTTCAATGAGGTGCAAAGACCTAGGAGGGCCCCTGCATAACCTTGAAGACCCCAAGGGGGTCTCACTCAGGATGTCAGGCTGCGGCTGGAGAACGCAGAGTGACTCCTGAAACCAACTGCGCTAACCACCACCCAGAGGAAGCCCAAGCCCTTGTGTTCTCGGCCCCCTTTCCCTCAAATATAAACCGAAGCCTTGCCTGGTCTCTTATGTACCGAAACCCCCACAGAAGGCATTAGTCTCCCACCTGACAATATGGCACATGGATGCAAAAGAAAGACAAACAGAAAGTTCTGCAGTTGAGGAGCTCTGGGACAGCCCACTGCTCTTTATGGAACAACAGGTTCCAAGTCCAAGAGCTCACGGCTTTTACTGGTACCAGTCAGGGAGGTAGGTGGTGGCTGGGCAGAGTGTTAGAGAAGAGAAACTTTGCAGGCATGGCTGTAAGGGGAAGCAGAGCATTTTTGCAGCAGGCACAGAGGCCCTCCAATTAACAGTGCAACGAGGATGGCTTGGTGTATGCAAAGTTCACACCTTTACTGCCAGCGACATATAATTCCTTTTGAGTCCCACGGCCTCAGCTGAGATGTTATCACATGTCTTAGCCCTGGAATCTCACAGGCTCTTACTTGAGCCTCTATTCCAGCATGGGGCAATGCTGACCGGCTTTGCTATGCCGAGACTCGTCAGCACCTCCACCCGACTCAATCACATTCTTTGGGCCAATTAAGGGAACATCCGCTTTTACTATAGCCAGCTCTGCCTATCTCAGGGAATAGGGTTGAAGTACAGGTCAGGTAAGGATCAAGGCTATCAGGAGAGCACAGTTTGGTGGTCTCCCACACTTGTGTGACCTCAGAATGCAAACTTCACTAAAATTGAGCATGCTGGGGCCCCTCCTTCCCCCAAAGCAAGGAGTCTACTTTTAAAAAAGTCCTGAACCCCAGACTACCCCCACTCAATTTGGCAATTCCATTAATATTGATATCAATGTCATTTATACTGATAACTGATGACTATTCAGGTGCAGATTCTGCTGCTGTGAAAGCATTAGAGAGGCTCAGACTCATTCTTTCATGTGAGGTTGGGTTGGAGGGTATAAGGATAAGGCAAAAAAACCACCATTGATGTTCAGGTTTCAAAATATGAAGAGGAAAAAAATGGAGCTTAGACTTTAACCCTTTCAGTCAACTTCCTGAGATTCACTTTTCTTCCACCCACCCTTCGGTTAGCCTTCCTGCCGATCTTTCTCCCCAGTGAGGCTACCCTTAGCATTTTTAATTGAACTGCAAACTTTACTGAGATCCTCTTTGGGGTCTGCAGCTGTATTTTGTTTCATAGCCCCTCCAGCCTGTGACAGTTTCTGCTTGTGTCCACGTCTTTCATGATCTTGACACAGTTCTGTTTTTGTTTCTTTTCCCCAGAGTACTTGGGGTCGCACCCAAGCTGATTGCACTCAGCTACATCTCCAGCTCTTTTGTATTTTGTATTTTTTTGTTTTGAAACAGGCTCTTGCTAAGTCACTAACTTGCCCAGGCTGGGCTCCTCCAGCTTAAGATCGTCTTTCCTCAAGCCCCTGAACTGCTAGGATTATAGGACCTAATCGCTTGAGAGGAGTGCTGGTCCGTTATGTTGTAGACTGCCCCCTAGTTTGGAGCACCTTGACGTTTTCTCCTAATTAGATGAGGTGCTAAAGCTTCTCCAAGAAGACCACAGAGGCAAAGTGGATTTCTCAGTGAAGTGGATTGGGGACACATGGGGTCACCATGACATAATACTGGTGACATTAACATGATTACTCAGTTCAGAGGATGGCTGTCTGTTTTATCCACTGTACAGTGAAGAACTCTATTTTTATTAACATACATTCGGGGGCAGTTGCTGTGAGGCTCCCTTGGCAGGGAGCAGACTTCCTTTATACCTGTACACTGGGGTGGAGGTGGCCATGGGTCACGTGATTTGTCCACACGGCACATCCCAGGGATGGGTCAGAGCTTGCTAGGATTGCACTGCCCAGAGCACTGGAATTAATGCTTGCCACTCTAAGAAACACTGGGGCTGCATGGTGGTATCCAAAAAAATAAAATGTTATCACAGATTGTTACTGGGGATGCACGTACGTTCACTGAATTCATTTCCATGTTCACCAAGAATGGGTAACATTTTTCCAAGGTGTGCGGTGTACCAGGCTCTGGATGAGGCTCTGCACAACACCAAACTTGTCCTCCTATTGTGTACCAGACCCTGAGACCAGTGCTAACGGTACCCAGGCAGAAGACAGAGGTTTAAGGCGCTCACAATACCATAGCTGGGGGGGTGCTTTGGAAGAGGCACAGAGGCACTGGCAAAAGACCTTTACTCACAGTGACAATTATCTGTGGCTGAGAATTCCTGAGCCGGGTCTTCTTGGGCCTCTAATGAGTCAGAGTAGATCCACTTGGTTGCTTTGCTACAGAAAGTTGAGCAGGTCCAGGAATTCTGGTGACTGGCTGGCTGCTGGCTGCTGTGTATCTCTACCACCCTGTGTGCACGGATGTTATCCTTACTGAGCTCCAAGGAAGCCAAGGCCCAGAGTCTCCAGACCATAAAAGGCCATGCAGGAGTTGGAGGTCGGATATGACCTCCTCCTGATTCCAAAGCTAATGCCCAGGCGCCGGCACTCTGAACCAGTGGTCCTCAACCCTTCTAGCTCAGGGAAAGGTTCTGTGAACAGCAACGTGTCCGTGCACAGGGGTGGGGTAGGGTGTGTGTGGTTTCAGGATGATTTAAAGGAGCGTAGACCTGTGCTCCCACGCATGTGCAGTTCACAGTAGGGTCCACACTCCTGTGAGAATCTACCGTGGAAGCTGATCTGACAGAAGGCAAAGCTGTGGTTTGAGCGACAGGAGCTGTGTGAACACAGATGAAGCTTCACTTGACCCCTACTCACCTCCTGCTGTGCAGCTGGGTTCCTAACAGGTCCTGACCTGGTGCCTGTTTGTTGCCCAGGGGTTGGGAATCCCCACTCTATGACATGCCAGTGCCCTCACTGTTGATATAATCATGCACTTGTAATTTCTTGTCAGTAGAAAGGACTTCAGGGCCTGACTGATGGTGGTAGCAGTTCATTTAGACCAGGCATTTTTTACTTAATCCAAAGGATCTCTGAGCATCTTCTGCTCCTCCCCTCCACAGTCAATCCATATCAACAGAAAGAAGCTAGAAGGCAGTGATCCTGAATCGGTTGTGACACACCAACTGCTACAGTGCAAACAAGCGTGCTTCCCTGGGAGACACGGCACACGGCAAGTGAGGTCTCTGTGCCCGTGGCTCCTGATGAGGGGGCTTAGTTCCTCATGGAGTCAGTGCTTTAATAAATAGCACTGGATGTGGCTGCTAATGGTTTGTGGCCTTCCTGTCTTGGGGCATTTGCTGAGCTGTCCGGTGAAGGCAAAGACAGACAAGGTCCTTCATTCTCCTGCCTCTTCCTTTTTGATAACTCCCTGGGGCCTCTCAAGTCATCGTCCTTGCCGTTCATTATTGGTTTTGCTAAGGGGAAAGCAAGGCAGGGCAGCTGCTCTGAGTGGCCGGAAAAGAAAAGGAAAGGGTGATTAGCAGGGGTAGGATGGGGAGACCCTTTGGCAATCTTGTTTGTGAAAATTACTCTATTTGGCCTCTACCGTAGATGAGAGAGGTTCACTGAATTACCTTGAATCTCCTGCTATTGTTCTGGAGGAGCCCATGAGAAAGAATGACCCAAAGGTGAGCTGTTGTCACTATTGTCAAAGAGAAGAGGGCATACAGAACTGGAGGTTGTTCTTGATTTCCAAGTCCCAGCTTAGGTCTCCCAGACCACATCCGGAAGCAAGGACTGAAGTGTAAGCAATTTATGTGAGCAGTGCATGAACCATTGGTAGGGACTGTGCTTGGAAAAGCGAAGACCAGTGAAGGATATGTTCTAACCTGGCGGCCACTGTGGAGCACTTGAGCGCCACCCAATGGCAAACCCTGAGAAATGGTGGTGCAGGGCAAGTATGTGAGAATCACCCAAGGTTTCTATTCCTGCAGGGAAGAGAGCTGGGGTATTTGCACATCAAGTTCTGAGTGTTGGCGACTGACAGCTGCTTTCAGGAGCTGTGTCTGGCACACAGGGTGGTTTTCTGCATCTGGGAAGAAAGTTCTTAGCAAAGAGATGGAAACGCTGGCCTTTAAAGGTCAACCAGAGCACACAGATGTGCAGAGGCCCACAGGGTGTGGCCTAGATGCCAACAGCACTGCCATTTCCTCAACTTCTTATGCCCAGGACCCGGGAATCGTCCTTGGTGCATTGCTCTCGTTTTGTGTCATGGTTTCAATCTGAGATGTTTCCCCAAAGCCTCATGTGTTCAGAGGTGGGGCTTTCTAAAGGTGATTAATCATTAAGTCACCAACATTATCAATGGATGGAACCTTCGATGGGTTCTTAGTTGAACGGCCTCTTAGGAGGTGGAACATGGTTGGAGGAAGGCGGGGGAGCTGGCTCAGCGGATTTGAGGAGTGTATCATATCCCTAGCCTCTTGCCCTCTGGCACTCTCTCTCTTTTTTTTCTGTCTCTCTCTTGGCTTCCCTGCCACCATGAGGTGAGCTGCTTTCTACCACCACACCTTCTACCAACATGGTTCTGCCTCAGAGCCATCTAACCATGGACTGGAGGTTCTGAAACCATGAGCCTGAATAAACCTCTCCTCCTTTAGACTGTGTGTGTCTAGCATTCTGTCTTAGCAACGAGAAACCAACACAATTTATGTTTAATCTGGCCCCAAATCCTGTGACTCCATCTTCAAAACATGTTTTGAGTCCTCCTACTACCTCCCACCATCTTCACCATGGTCTTTCCCTGGAGTTTTGCAACAGCTTCTATTATGGCTTGTATCGAGATGTCCCTTTGAAAGCCTCATATGCGCATAGGTGGAGCTTTGGGGAGGGGACTCCAAAGAAGATGGATGCATGATACTGGGTCATGAGTGTGTGACACTGGATTAGTCCCCTGACGGGTTTATAGCTGCGTGTGATGTTAGGTGGTGAATCCTGGTGGGGAAAGAAGGTGGGTCACTTGGGTGTAGCCTGGAGATGATAGATAGATAGATAGATAGATAGATAGATAGATAGATAGATAGATAGATACATAGATACATAGATATAGAGAGATCTCCTTCCTCTTGTCCTGAGTGCTAGCTTCTTCCTGTCTGCCAGTCTGTGGACTGTTTCTCATCCACCAGGCTCCTCTGCCATGCTGCTTTGCTTTGGAGCCAACCGACTATGGACTGAAATCTCTACAAACTGAGTCAAAATAAACCCTTTCTCCTTTAACTTGTGGGTGTTGAGTATTTTGTCCCAGTAACGAGAAAGTAAGACAGCTTTCTAGGCAAAAGTCTTGTTTATAGTCTTTCTTTTATTATAGTAGCCACAGCAATCTTCTGAAACCTAAATCACATCATTCTCTCCCCCGGCTCAAAGTGGCCCAGAGGCCACGCCTCACTTTAGAATAAAACCTGAAGTCCGTCCTGTGCCTCGAAAGGCCCTGCAGGATTCAGCTCCTGACCATACCTCTGACCTCACTTTCCATCATCTCTATGCTTTGCTCCCAGTGCTGAAGCTCAATGTGTTTTCTCACTGTGTTCCTGCCCCAGGGCCTTTGCGTCTGTTCTTCCAACACAGAACACTAGTTCAAGTACTCATATCCCTCAGTTCTCTGTTCAAATTTCACCTCGTTAAGGAGACTGTTTCTTAATATTCTGCCTAGAAAATTAAGTGCCTAGTCACTCCATTCCTTTAGTGTGTTTTATTGGTTTTCCATAGCAATGATCCTAACTTGAGAATACTAGCTTATATTTTTCTGTGTCTATGCCTTGCCTGGTGCTCTAGAATGTAAGTACTGTGAGTGCAAGGACTTTGAGCCTCTGCGTTGCACCCAGCACCTAGAAGCAGGCAGCACACATTAGATGGCTGTTGATTGAATGTTTGTCCCACAGAGAGCACCTCTTGGCCGAGGTGTTTCAGAACAGACAGCAGAAACTGTCTTAGTTTGATATCTAAGCACTCTGCCTGAAGAGCAACACGCTTAGCAGAATCTGTTGGAGATCCTGGGGCTACTGCAGATATGTTCTTCCTTGGCATCTATTGCAAATCTCAACTTCTTCATTTTCCATTCTGTTTGTCTTACTGAGAGCAGTAGAAGGAACACTGAGGCAATTAGCCTGTTATATGTCACATACGATGACAGGGACAAAGCAGAGTCTTGTTTTTCGATAAACTAGGATGCAGAGTCGGTCATTTACCCTGCTGCCGGGCACACGATGCACTCTAAATGTGGAGGGATTTCTAAGTGATTTGACAGTGTCATCTGTCTGACGCTATGAAACTTTCTTTGTATGATAATTGCTCGGCAGTTGTATTGCATTTTATGGCCCAAACCCTTAAAGATACCAAAGCAGGAGAGGGTTTTCTCCATCTCTGCCTCCCATCCCACAAAACGCTTAGCCCTAGCCACCCCATTCCTCTCCTGCACCCCGTCCTGTGAGCCCAAATATAGTCGATGGAATCAGTTCCCTCTTTTGTATGTGTTTTAATTTAATCCTTTATAAAAGGCTCCTTTTAGGAAAATTCTTAAATTACAGAAAAATAATAATACTACTTGCTTCACTCGGAGATAACCACTATTAACATGTGGCTGTATTTCCTCCTTATGTTCTGTATGGGTATTTTTACGTAGTTTTAATGTGCAACTTAATCTCTCTTTTTTGCTTAATACCATAACATAAACATGATTCTTGACATTCAACACATTGTGTGAATATTTTTTAATAGCTGCATATGATTCCATTTTCCGGTTGTGGGTGATTTTGCTCTTTTCTATTTTTGAAGATTGCCAATGATGCTGGAATAAACACTCTTGAACATGCGTCTTTGCAGGCATTGCCAGTCATTTCCTTAGGAAAGAGTTTCCAAAACGGAATAACTAGTTCTAAAGGATATGAACTCTTAATACATTTTGCGAGATTTCATTTTGATTTCTGAAACTGTTGGAATGTGACTTCCATAAAAGAGCTCCAGAAAAGCAGATTGCCTTAAAGAATTTACTTCCAGTTTTGAAACGTTTCAGACAGTCAATTTCAGCACCCAGTTTAAACGAGCACAGAAATCTGCTGTATGCCATCTCCTCTCCAGGCCTCTTCCTTCTCTAATAAAATCCAGCAACAGCATTGTAAAAGTCTTTCTTTGGTAAACAATGCCTTTTTGTGTTCTCAAGGATTGTTTTCTTAAGTCTTTCTGGCAGATATTGAGTTTATGCCTAGAATTATGTGTAGTATTTTTGCATGCCTATTTATGATGTCTTATGGGCTTAGTTATGCTTTATTTTTTTTCATTGCCAAAAGAAAGTCCGGATTTCATGGCCATGTAACCTGCTTTTATAAGTCTGTCTGGGTCTTGCCTAAAAGAACAGGGTCACCTGGCAGGGAGCCCTCTTAAAAACATCATACAGGTAAGGAGTCACTCTGCAAGGCTGGGGCATCCTGGGAGGACTTTTTACAAAGAGGAACAGTTTAACAATGGTGGGAAACCACGACCATCACAGATGGGAGGAATCAGACATGCCGTAGCATCTCAGAGAGCCAAGGGATACAGGATGGCTGAGAAAGTGTATTAGTCAGCTTTTCGTCATTTCATCAAAATACTTGAGAAAATAAGCTCAAAGGAAGAAAGGTTTATTTTGGCTTATGGTTTCAGAAGGCTCATTCGATGGTTGGCTGGCTCCAAGGCAGAAATGTCATGGTGGAAGGGCATGGAGGAGGAAAATTGTTCACCTCATGGCAGCCAGGAAGCAGAGAGCGAGCGAGAGACAGAGAGAGAGACAGAGACAGAGACAGAGAGAGGGAGAGAGAGAGGGGGGAAAGGGGATAAGTCAGACCCTTCAAAGCCATGTTTCTCAGTGACCTCCTTCTTCCAGCCAGGCTCCACCTCCTAATAAGCCTTACACACTGGTGACAGTAGCACCCCCTAAACTAGTCACCTTCGGAAAGCCACACCTCTAAATGCACGAGCCTTTTGGGGGGATGTTTTAGATCTAAATCACAACAGAAAATTATGCAGCCATAATATCATGCATGCAACAATATTAAAAAGAATGTCAGGCATTTCTACTTGACCTGAAAAGATATCTGTGATATTCTGTTAATTATAACTAGCAAGCTGTAGAGAAATATATGTCATTTAATTCCATATATATAGAAAGTAAATCATGCTGAAGGGAACCTTGCATATCTATATGAATCAAAAGAAATGTAGGGAAAAACACATCAACCTGTAAGAAACTCAGGCTCACTGATGAATATGGAACCAGGGGAGAAGAAAATGAAGCAATGTTTGCTTTTTACAAATTATTCAATCTATATTCTATATTGAATAATTGGTAACAATGGATGTGTATACCATGTGATCAAAATACATA